TAGATTAACCAAATCTAATCTCATTTCATGTTGGTTTTTTTTTATATCTTTTCTTCTCTTCGTTTGTGCACATATTATTACTAAACTCGGCTTCACAGATGAATCTAGTATCTAGCTATTTTACTTTTTAATATGAATTAAATGCAAAAAAAAAAAAATCAATCCAGTTAACTCTTAGAATCAAAACTTGTTAGTTTTTTAAAAAATTTAAAATAAATCAAATCAATTTAAATTAACATGCCGGCAAAATCATGTGTGTCAATAATAATAATAAAAGACTACTAACAGCACACAAATAGATTAACAAAAAATAATTAAGAAGTTAAGTTCCTAAATGATGCAAACCCGCAAAGATTAGGATATTTATTGCCTGTCGAAGAATTCATGTCTGATGAGATTTTCCTTGAGCGGACAGCACGACGGACAGCACGACGTTAAACAAGAAGAATCCACGTGAACCATCTAGGTGGTGGCCTGCTAAGGATTTGAAATTAAGAGGTTTGCTTTCTCTGTGGTTTTAGATTTGAGTCCTTGATTGCTTATATGATAACCACTAGAGACTTATATGATTGTTAACTTCAGAGCCCGTGAGATTAGTCGTGGTGCGCGCAAATTGATCCGGACACCCACGTTAATCTAAAAAAAAGAAGAATTCACGTGCAGGTGTTGCGTTTGGCTTTACTCGTGTATAGTCTACATACAATTTATTAGTAGAATTGGGAGGATGGACCTTTTCTACAGATCTTCAATCTGCTGTGTTTACAATTTCTTAGTCCAGTACGTTCCAGCTCGAATATGGCAGACAATTCAACGAAACGGCAGGCGTGTTACCAAAAAAAAAAAAGAATTGCAGGCAATGTATTTTGTAGCTTGAATGTTGATGCTAATGGGGAATTTAAAACTCACTAGCATGTGGCTTTCTATAGATACTTTTAGGGTGCAGGTTTTTAATTTCATTGTCAGTACAGCGCAGTTTATAGTAAATTAAAGATGCTTTATTTTTTTTATTTAAATTGTTTTTTATTTTATTTTTCTAACTGTTTTTTTTTTGTTTTTTTATTCCTTTCAGGTTATTTCTTACTTCTTTTTCTGTTTTTTTTTAATAATTTTTTATTTAATTTAATTTGTTGATGTTAATTTTTTTAATTAATTATTAGATTTTCATCATATTAATCCTGAGTTTAATAAATTAACCTGATTTGATAAGTTAACCTGAATTTTTTTATGTTTTTTTTTTATTATTTTTTTTAGTTTAGTTTATTAATATTAATTTTTTTTATTTAGTTATCAAACTTTTATGACACACATATTCTAGGTTTCACGAGTTAGCTTGGTTTTATGGGTTGACCCTTTAATTTTTTTTTCTTTTTTTCTTTTAAATTTTTTATTTAATTTAGTTTGTTAATGTTAAATTTTTTTATTTAATTATCATACTTTTAATGCACGAATCCTGGGTTTAACGGATTAATCTGATTTGACGAGTTAACCCAGATTTTTTTTGTTTTTTTCTTTTTAATTAATTTTTTTCGTTTAGTTTAGTTTGTTAATGTTAAATTTTTTCATATTTTTTAATCAGACTTTCATGACATGTATTTTAGGTTTGACGGGTTAACCTGGTTTCACGAGTTAACCTAGTTAATTATAGGTTAACCCGTCAATTTTTTTTTTTCATTTAGTTATCAAACTTTCATAACGTGAATTTTCGGTTTGACGGGTTAACCTGATTTGAAAGATTAACCCAGTTAATTTAATTTTTTTTCTTTTTCTTTATTAATTTTTTTCTTCATGTTAGTTTTTTTAATTAATATATTTAATTGTCACACTTTTATTACACAATCTTGCAGCTAGACCCACATCTAAGACTCTTGACCCTGGTGTTGCAGCCAGACTCATTTAAACTTGAGTCGTGTAAGTTTAATATTATAAATATTACTCTTTGATCAAGTGTTGCAGTTAAACCCAAGGCTTTTAAGTATATATTTGCAGAAAGACCTAACACTCTTAGATCTTAGCTTTTTTTGATATTTTTTATGCTAGGAAAAACAATTAACCAGTGGCGTAAGTCTTTTTTTGTTTTTTTTTTTTTATTTTCATTTTTAATCCTTTCACTGTGGACTCCACAGTGTAGTCCATAGTAAAAAAACCGATGTCTTTAGTTTTTTTTTGTTTTTTTAAATTTACTTTCTGAATATTAAATTTTTCTCTTTAATTATCAAACTTTTATGGCATGGATCCCAAATTTGACGGGTTAACCCAGTTAATTCAGATTTTTTTTATTAGTTTTTTTCTTCCTGTTGGTTTTTTCTCTTTGCTTTTTTCTTTTTAATTAATCTATTTAATTATCATACTTTTATGACATGACCTTACAATCAAACCCACATCCAAAGCTATTGAGTCTGGTATTCCAGTCAGACACACTTAAACTTGGATCATGCAAGTTTAATGTTATTATAAATATTACTCTTAAATCAAGCATTGTAGTCAAACCCAAAACTTTTGAGTATAACTTTGTAGAAAAACATAATACTTTTAAATCTTATTTTTTAAAATTTTTTATACAAAAAAATTAACCCGCAGTATCGTGCGGTGATGTAACTAGTTATAATCTATTAGGAATAGCCTCTGTCTTGTACCCATTTTAAAAAAAAAATAACATATAATAAATTTCATCGCGTTCAAGATTTCAGGCCATTTCAAGCACAAAAATTTGGTTATGTTCTCATTATTTTGTTTTATGAATATTTTTTTTTATAATTCAATTCCTCAACAATTAGTTTGATAAAAACTTTACTTTATATTTTGTTATGGTTTGTTTTTTTTTCCTCTTGTTATCTAAATCTGCATAGGTTTAGCAAGTTAAACCATTTTATTTTATTTTTTTGTTTATTTTTTAATTGATAATTCTTCTCATATTCATCATTTAATATCTTTAATACTTGATTGATTATGAGTCAAATTTTAGTATTAATTTTGATTTATTTTATGAAAAATTATCTCAATCTCACAATTTAAATCGAGTTAATTTTGGTAGATTTAGGTTATTTTATTGTGTTATTTTTTCTAAATTATTTTTTTCTAATCTTGTTACTCAATAATGAATTTATTAGAAATTTAGCACAAACCAATGATCTATTAGTTGCTAAATAAAAATGTTTAAATTTTAAAATTATATTTCGATAATTAATATTATATTTGATATTTATGTTGCATTATCTCAAGTTAATTTATTTTTTGTTTAAATTATAATTATATATGGTGAATTAATATTTTGAGATCTAAATATGTATATATATATATATATAAACAGTATAATCTCAAAATGACAAGTCAAATAAGTCTTAAAAAAAATCTATTAATTGAATTAAAAAATATAACATCAACCAAAATAAAATTAACAACCTTATTTAGATATAAGGATATTTGAGATTTAAAAAAAATATTTGAAACAAATTACTTTTATGTTTGATAAGCCAAGATATTTCAAATTACAGAAAATCATAAATATCCAGGGACATTGAATTGCTTTGAAACCTAGGGTTTTGGTATTGTGATTTTTTTCTTCTTTAGTCATATGCACACATCATTTATATGAAGTTAGATAATGCACCCTCGTTTTTATTAATAATTACACAAATATTCTAAGTAACTAGTACTTGTGTTCCTAGAATATAAATTTAAACCATTAATACATGTTTGGTGACTTTAATTCAGTACCAAGATAGTATTATAACTTGTTGGTGTATGTATTAATTTACTCAATAACAACAACAACATTAATAATAATTCCACACAATTAAATTTACTATTGATTCGTTTCAATAGATTGCTTTTAAACACAAATTAATACAAGTGTTGCATTGAAATAAGATCAGTATATATTTAATAGATCTAGGAATTATAATTCAATGTATGTAAACACAAATTAAAACAAGTGTTGTCAATCTTGTTTAGCTTATAAATAAGACTAGAAGGATTACAAGTTATCAGTTAATTTTAAATCTATTCACATCGAGTTTCGTAAATAAATTGGTTGATTTAATTTTAAAAAATAAAGTCATTGGAATCATGCATATCTTTATCTTAATAAAAAAAAAAATTATACTATCAATGATCTCATTTTCAATAATACGTCCAAGAAATACATCTAAAATTTATAGACCTACCACACCACCACCATGGAGCTTCCATTCCAACTAAGATATCTACGGGATTAATTCTAGAAGAAATTCAAACCGACCGAGTAAGTTTTAGTATTAGTAGACAGATAGTATTGTGCTGAGAATCCAAAAAGAACAGACAAAGATGCAAGAGCAATGTCTTAACTTTAATCCTTATAGTTTAGCAAAACTAATCAATTAATCTTTGAGGTTTTAAAATATATATTTTAAGCCTTTATATTTTTAATTTGTTTATAATTTAGTCCTTCTATTAATCCCATGCTTCCCTTTTCATTTAAGTTTATTCAATGCTTCATGAAAAAAGGTTAAAGAAAAATAAGTAGGTGAAGAGAGGAATCAACTACTAAAGTCTAAAAATGTGTTTGATATTGTGGATATTTTTACTTATATAATTTAAATAATTTGTTTTAAAAAATATTTTTAGTTGTGATTTTTTAAAAAATAGGTTTTAAAAAATATAAAATGAGTTAAAACAGATCTTTATAAATAAAAAATAAATTATTTTAATTTTTCTGGAACCAAGATTTGAAATGGCCTCTAAGTTTTTTCTTTTGAATCCAACTGCAAAAAAAAAAAGTTATTTGATTAACTAGATAATCTTTTCTTTATGGTTGAACAAAAAACAGAAACTATTAGCATACTAAACAGTCTCTAAATTGAAGATGATTAATATCAATCAAGAGACTATTTAACAATTTATGATACTATAGAGATTTATTAATCAATTTTGATAAACTACAAGGACTAACTTTAATTAATTAGCTAAAATTGTCGGCCATCACCATCGTCATTGACAAGTGACGACCTGTGCATAAAGAGTCCTCTTTCTGCCGAGAGAATAAAGAACCACAACAGCCAGTAGCTAGATTTGAGAGAGATCTTGCTCAATAATTTAGCAGCCATGGCAGACAACAACAACCTCACAATCGACCCGAGAAGCGGCTTTTGCAAATCAAACTCTGTTTTCTACAGCAAACGCAAGCCAATCCCACTCCCACTAACTGACTTCCTAGACGTCACCACCTTCATCTCCTCCCGTCCTCACCACGGCAAAACAGCCTTCATCGACGCAGCTACCGGCCGCCACCTCTCCTTCAAAGACCTATGGAAAGCAGTAGATTCCGTTTCCACTTGTCTCTACGACATGGGAATCCGCAAAGGCCACGTCATCCTCTTACTTTCTCCGAACTCCATCTTCTTCCCCATCGTTTGCCTCTCCGTCATGTCTTTAGGCGCTGTAATTACCACCACCAATCCTCTCAACACTCCTCGTGAAATCGCTAAACAAATTGCGAACTCGAAACCTTCACTCGCTTTCACTACTCCTGAACTCCTTGCCAAACTCACCGAGTCAAACTCAAACCTCACCATCATCCTCATAGACGATGAGATCACTGATGCCTCCACTAAAACAAAGGCCAAAATTGTGACAACATTAAGTGAAATGGTAAAAAAAGAACCAAGTGGGATCCGAGTTAGAGAGCAAGTCAAGCAGGATGACACAGCGACGCTACTCTACTCTTCAGGCACAACAGGAGAAAGCAAAGGTGTGGTGTCCTCACACAAGAACTTAATCGCTATGGTACAAACGATTGTTGAACGGTTCAGATTAAACGAAGGAGATCACAAATTTATCTGTACGGTCCCGATGTTTCACATCTACGGTTTAGCAGCGTTTGCCACAGGAATTCTGGCAGCAGGGTCAACGGTCATCGTTCTCTCAAAATTCGAAATGGGGGAGATGTTATCGACGATTGTGAAATACCGGGCCACTTATTTACCACTCGTGCCGCCGATACTAGTAGCGCTGATCAACGGGGCTGATCAGATACGGGAGAGGTATGATTTGAGTTCGTTGAATTTTGTTTTATCAGGCGGAGCTCCACTGAGTAAGGAAATGGTTGAAGGGTTTTCGGAGAAGTATCCAGGGGTTACGATTTTACAAGGTTATGGGCTCACTGAATCGGCGGGGATTGGTGCTTCGACGGATACGTTGGAGGAGAGTAGGAGGTATGGTACGGCAGGGCTATTGTCGCCGAACACGGAGGCCAAGATCGTGGACCCGGAGAGCGGTAAAGCTTTGCTGGTGAACCAGACCGG